AACTTTCTGCAATCATAACTGGAAGTGCACAGCCCAATTTAATTTTCAGACTTCCTACATTTAGCCAATGACATCCAGACAAGACAGAGGCCTATAGATTCCATAGCGTGTACTAAAGCCAGGTCTCATTTATCCATAGATGTATAATTTTAGCTTTGTTTTTCTGTCTTGACTTACTCTCTACCCTTCCTTTTTTTGTGTGTGTAAATAACAGCTTAATTGAGACATAATTCATATATCATACAATTCATCCATTTAGAATGCACCATTTAATGCTTTTTAGTGTATTTACAGAATTGTGCAGTCATCACCACATTTAATTTGAGAACACTTTCATCACTTCAAGTAGAAAATCAGGACACCTTAGCCATCACCTATAAATCCAACCACCAGTTCTAGTCTGCCATTAATCTTTCTGTCTCTGTAGATTTGTCTATTCAGGACATTTTAAATAAATATAATTTTTTTTTTTTTTTGACATAGAATCTTGCTCTGTTGCCTAGGCTGGAGTGCAGTGGTGCAATTTTGGCTCACTGCGACCTCCGCCTCCTGGGTTCAAGCAATTCTCCTGCCTCAGCCTCCTGAGTAGCTGGAATTATAGGCATATGCCACCATGCCTGGCTAATTTTTGTGTTTTCAGTAGAGACGGGGTTTCACTATGTTGGTCAGACTGGTCTCGAACTCCTGACCATATAATCTGCCTGCTTCAGCCTCGCAAAGTGCTGGGATTACAGACGTGAGCCATTGCCCCTGGCCATAAATATAATCATGTAATATGTGGTCTTTTGTGATTGACTTATTTCATTTAGCAGAATGTTTTCGAGTTTCATCTATATTATGATATATCCATTTTAGCTTGTATCATGACCTCAGTTTTTTATTGCCAAATAATATTTGATTGTTTGAATATATTCCATTTTTAAAATCTGTCTATCATTTGATGGAAATTTGGATTGTTTCAATTTCTTGGCTGTTGTTATAATGCTGCTATGAGTAATTTCTGTCCGAGTTTTTGCATGGACATTTGTTTTTCATTTCTCTTGGAGTTTTACCTGGGAGTAGAACTGCTGGGTTATATGGTACCTCTATGTTTAACCCATAGAGTAACTGTCAGATTATTTTCTAAAGCGATTGCACTGCTGTGCATTCCCACCGGCAGTATGTCAGAGTTCCAGTTTCTCCACATCTACGCAAACAATTGTTATTATCTGTCTTTTTGATATTAGCTACCCTGCTGGGTGTGAAGTAGAGTCTCATTGTGGTTTTGATTTACATTTTCCTGATGGCTGATGATGTTCAGCATCTTTTCATGTGCTTATTGGCTATTTGTATATCTTCGTTGGAGAAATATCTATTTACATCCTCTGTACGTTTCATAAACGGCATCATTTGTCTTTTTATTATTGATTTCTTTATGAATCCGACATATAATTCCCTCATTAGACAATGAGTTGCAAATATTTTCTCCCACTTAGCAGGTTGTCTCTTCTCTTTGTTGGTGGTGGCCTTTGAAGTGCAGAATTTTAATTTCAAAGAAGTTCAATTTATCAGCTTTTTTTCTTTGATGGCTTCTGCTTTTGGTGTTATACCTAGGAAATTGTTGCCAAGTCAAGGTCACAACGATTTATGCCTGTGTTTTCTTTTAATAATCTTATAGTTTCAGCTCTTAACATTTAGGTCTGTGATCCTTTTGGGGTTAGTTTTTGTGTATGGTGTGAAGTAGCGGGTACAAATGAATTCTTTTGTGTTTGTATATTTAGTTGTCTTAGCACCATTTGTTGGTGAGACTATTCTTTTCTCCATTAAATTTTTTTGTCTCTTTTGTTGAAAATCAATTGACATTTATGTAAGGGTTTATTTTTAGACTTTCACTTCTGTTCCTTCAGTCTGTATATCTGTCCTTATGCCAATACCACACCATCTTGATTACTGTAGCTCTGTAGTAAGCTTTGGAATAGATAAGCATGAATCCTCCAGTTATATTCTTCTTTTCCAATATCTTTTGTTTTTGGCTATTTTGGAAATTTGCCTTGAATTGCCATATGAAACATAGGATCAACTCATCAATTTCTTTAAAGAAGCCAGATGGGATTCTGAAAGGGATCCTGTTAAATCTGTAGATTAGGCAGGATGTATTGCTATCTTAATAATATTCTCTTTCAATCCATGTATCTAGGATATCTTCCCACTTAGTCTTCAGTTTTTAAAAAAGCATTTTGTAGTTTTTAGATATAAGTTTTGCAGTTTTATGTTTATCACTAAATACTTCATTTTTGATACTATTGCAAATATGATTATCTTAATGTTATTTTTGGATTGCTCATTGCAAATATTAATATATAGAAATATAATTAATTTTTGTATTGATTTTATGTATTGCAATATGCTGGACTCTTTTATTAGTTCTAATAGATTTTTTTCATGGAATTACTAGGATTTTCCTGCACATAAGCCTGTTACCTGCAAATAGAGATATGTTCACTTCTTCCTTTTCAATCTGGATATTTTTAATTTCTTTTTATTTTTTGTATAATTGCCTTTTCATAACCCTCTAATACAATGTTAGATGGAAGTGGTGAGAGCTGTTATCCTTTTCTTGTTTCTGGTCTTAGTGTGAAAGCATTCAGACTTTTACTATTAAGTATGATAATAGTTGTGGGTTTTCCATAGAAATTTTAAAAATCATATTAAGGAGGTTCTCTTCTGTTTGTAGTTTTTTGAGTGTCTTTTTTATGAAGGAATGTTTAACTTTATTATATGCTTTTTCTCTATCTTTTGATATAATCATATAAGATATCATTTGTCCCTAATTCTATTAATATGGTATATTACATTAATATCTCTTAAACCTTGCATTCATGGGATAACTTCCACTTGATCATTGTATTAGTTTGTTCTCACTCTGCTATAAAGAACTACCCGAGACTGAGTAATTTATAAAGAAAAGAGGTTTAATTGACTCACAGTTCTATAGGCTGTGCAGGATGCTTGGTTAGGGAGGCCTCAGGAAACTTACAGTCATGGTGGAAGGGTGAAAGGGAAGCAAGCATGTCTTGTCTTCACATGGCGGCAAGAGAGAGAGGGCAAAGGATGAAGTCTTCACACCTTTGAACAACCAGATCTCTCGAGAACTCACTATCATAAGGACAGCAAGGGGGAAACTGCCCGCGTGATCCAATCACCTCCCACTGGGTCCCTCCCCCAACATTGGAAATTATAATTCGACATGAGATTTGGGTGGAGACACAGAGCCAAACCATATTAATCATGATGTTCATTTTATGGCTTGCTGGGTTCTGTTTGCTAGTATTTTCTCGAGGATTTCAAAAAAAATCTGTATTCATCAGGCATGTTCATAAGTACAGCTTTATTATAGGTGGCCTGGGGAAATGGCAATTGGGACCCCAGTATTCTCAGCCTGCTGTGCTTGGGGAGAGTAACCATCCTATCAGTGGGACATTGGGGGAGCAAGGGATTCTCAACATCTTGCTGCACTTGGCCAGGAATTTAGCCTATGCAAATCAGAGCTGCAAGGCTGAAAAATCCTGGTGATCTGCCCATCTAGTATGCTATCGTGTACCTTGTCTGTGAACTGGAGAAAGAGAAAACCCTGTTTTCTTGGCAGTGTTTTTCTGGAATGAGGAGTGGAGCTTTTGTCACACTGCGGGTAGAAGGAAGCAGTCAGTTATGCCTCAAGTGCCACTTTAATGAGGTTAACTAGAGTTTCTTGAATAAATGTTTCTTCATTTGCTGTATGGCCACAGGACAATATTTAGAAATGTTAATTTTTTAAAAATTATTTTTAGCACTTACGGGTATTTCACTGGGGACCATTTCTACAGATTTCTATATATCATCATTCCAGAAGAGGAACTGTTATAATGGCCCCCTTTTGTTTTTGATGATAGTTTATATTAATAATTATGATACAGGTTTTATCTTCAAAAGCTTGGTTTTCCTACAGACAATACATTTCACATATAACTAGGAATTGGAGGGTAGCCTGACTTAGGAGGGTCCTGAGACTTGACTGAAATCCTGCTGTATTGAAGGTGAAAGAAATATTTCTTTTCCTATTCTTGTTTTAAATATCTAAATATTGAAGATAGGTGAGAGTGGATGTGGTCATTCGCCAGTAATTCCAGCACTTTGGGAAGCTGAGACAGGTGGATTTCTTGAGCTCAGGAATTTGAGGCCAGCCTGGGCAACATGGTGAAACCCCAACTCTACAAAAAATATAAAAAACAGTTAGCCAGACATGGTGGTGTGCACCCGTGGTCCCAGCTACTGAGGAGGCTGAGCAGGAGGATTGCTTGAGCCCAGGAGGTCAAGACTTCAGTGAGCCAAGATCGTGCCACTGCAATCTATCCCAGGTGACAGAGTAAAAAAAAAAAAAAAAAAAGGAGAGAAAGAAAAAAAGATAGGTGAGGTTAGAATCTGTGAAGAAGAGTTGCCAGAATTCACTTTCCTTGTGTCTTAGAAGCATAAACATTAACTCTATATCTTCTAGTCAATAAAAAATCTCTCCTCATACCTAATTAGCTAGATCAATGGGGATATGCGTTTTTAAAAGTCATGCTAGGAATTTTCTTTTTTAAAAAATTCTCTGAAGGAATACTTCTTTTATAAAAAGTCTGTAGGTTCTATTCTGGGCTGTATTTGTTTTTTAAATTCCTACACCTATACTAGGCTGCCCTGTATATCAAATCAGAGGATTACCTATCATATTATTGAAAGTTTAACAGGCCAAACTTTGTCTTTCTAAAGGGATTTTATAAAAATCTATGAATATCATGGCTTAATTTCCGAACCAGCTTTTAATTGATATAGACCATTATGCAAATTAAACATGGGTATTTTAAAATTTTGCAAAAATTTGCTAGTTAATTATCTGTGTTTGTTCAAATTATCGTGATGTTACTTATTTTTTTCCTCATGTTTTGAAATGCTACTCGTTTCTGGGTTTCTTTAACCATTAGATATAAATGTCATTTTTTTAGACTAAACTTCAGTGGCTCTGTGAGGAACTGAAAGAGAGAGAAAACAGAGAGAAAAATCTGCGACACCAGCTGATGCTCTGCAGACAACAACTCAGGAATCTGACTGAACACAAGGAATCTGAGCTGCAGTGTCTCTTCCAACAGATAGAAAGGCAGGAGCAGCTTCTGGATGAAATACATCGTGAGAAGAGAGGTGTGTTAGTTGTTCTTTCATTTTTCTTTGTTTATATTTATGGAATCCTAAATTGGAAAAAACCGACTTCTATTGCATTCAGTTTGAACTGTTTCCAAGCCCATCTCCTTTTCTTGTCTTTGTTGTCTTATCTTTCTTCACTTCTGGGATTAGAAGAGAAAACTCTTCAGCCACAGCTTTCCTCCTGTGTATATGATACCTGCATTCACTGGCTGTGTGCAGGAATTAATTGATAAGACATACTGCTTCTGTGTTAGTAAAATGCTGAAGTTTACATTTACTTCAGCAAAATACCCCTTAGTTCATTCAATACATATTTTGTGCCCATTTTCAAGTATGCACTATTCTAGGTACAGAGGATATATCAGTGAATAAAGCGGAAAACAACAACAAAAACAAAACAAACCCCCTGCCCTTATTTAGCCTATGTTTTATTGGGTGGAGACAGAAATATTACAAATAGGTACATTATATAATATATGAGAAGGTTGTAATCACAGTGGAGGAAGCAGTAGAGTAAGGGAAGAAGAGTTTGGCTTCACATATTTTGGAACTCTTATTGAATTATTAGCATTGATTATGGCAATGTGTCCAGTTAGAGGCCTATGATATGTTCTTTATAAAAGGAAAAGAGGGACTGAAGAAGGACCTTGGTTGTGGAATTGGAAAACAGGCAACAAATGCAAAAGACGTTGTGGAGGACCAGCCCAAGGTGAGGAAGAGAGAGAACTCACGGGAGATTCGAAGGTCTCAATGGTTTTGCCATTGTAAGAGGAAAGTCAGGAAGTAGTTGATTTGGTGGGAGAAAAAGAGGGCATGCATTTTTACCTAATTCTTAAAATCAAAACTGTAAGAAAAAAAAAGTATTATGAAGGCCCAAACTTTTGTCACAAGAGATATTTTAATCTTTTGCCTGGTATGTGAAAAATATTGTAATAGTACTGCCTGGTGGATTTGGATGCAATGAACACTTTAGTCTGCTATCAAGCAAATACTGTTAAAGTTGAGGACTTATAAACAAGTTAATTACTAGAAATATAAGCAACATGCTCTTGGTAAAAAGAGTTTTGATTACTTCTGCTGGGGTCCCTGTGGGGACATTTTTGTAGGGCATGTCACTTTATTTTGATCTTAAAAACAAAGCAGGATTTCCATAAGGAAGAGAGGAAGAGAGATTTTCTGCAGAATTTATCTGCCTGGTGATTTAAACATATTTTTTTACAGTGGTACACATAGAGAAGGTAAAAGGCAGCAGTGATTAAGTTTAGATATTTCTGAGACATCAAAGTTAATTGTTAATACAAATTTATAGGTGATTCTCTTTACCATCTTAGAAACTTATCTATTAACTAGAACAAAGCTACCTATCTATAAGTGAAATATGACAGATACACTTTCTATTGGCTAGAATTAATGCCATCTCAGAGTTAATATTTTTAGTTCAATTTAACGTCATAGTAAGTGACATTTGCCAGGTTAACTGAGGCCCTGGGACAAGGAGTTTCCACCACTGATTGCTGCTATATTCATAGATCTGAGTTGTCATACACTTTTGGAGTATTCTGGGCCTGTAAGTCTGGAAATTTGGAATTTGGAGATTCCTGTAGGAGAGGAAATTTATTAAGGGGTTAATGTCAGGAACCTCTTAGAAGTTTAGTAATTATTCACTGAGAAATTCTTCAGTTATAAGAGGTAACAAAGACAAGAGTAAAGAGCTGTAAAATTCAGCTGGGAGGATTTAGGTATAATATAAGAATATGTTGAAACTATCAGGTTTACTAAAACTTAAAATTTATGTGGAAATTGAAAGGAATTTTTCAAAAGTTTTCAGAAGGAGAGGCATTTCTACAGTATAGTTGTATTCTTAGTGTACAAAATGCTAGTGAATATGAATAAATATAGAACGCGATTTTCTTATTTTTTCCTGAAACTGAAATAGTGCCTCTTTTTTAAACAGGTGATGGATCTTGCTTTCCAGGCACTGGGTGGTTGTGGTTTTGGCTAGTATGTGTACATAGCTTTCCTTCTTGGAATAATCAGAAATTGACATGGCCTGAAATTCCTTTACCTTAAAGATGAAATTTGATTTACTTACTATTTCCAGTTTGGGGTAGGTGCTATACTCTTTTGGCTTTGTTTTATTAGGTGGGATCTTCACCAATTCCTCACTGTCCTCATGCTGTAAGTACAATGTATAGAAAATAGTCATTCCCAGCAGCATGTACTGTACGAAATCTTCCTGAATCTGTCCCTTGCTGTCATGTGTCATTTGTTAGAATGCACATCTAAGGGTGAAATAAGCCATTGTCAAAGTTTCTTTGTTAGGGAGTTATCTTTTCTGAATAGTTATAAAAGGGAAAGTACTACAGGTAAGAGGATGAAGAAGAAAGAAAATGGTCTTCCAACTCTTCAGAAAATAATGCCTTTGCAGCAGAGAACGAATGCCCAGATTATTTTTGCTTAACACCTGTGTCTTAGCCAAAAAGTAGGCAGTGAAAGAAATATACATCATTTCTATCGGTCTGTCTGTCTGTCTATCTATCTATATCTGTATACAGATACAGATACGAATCTCTCTGTGTGTGTGGCAGTGTGTGTGTGTGTGGGTATACATTTCACTAGTTTGAAGTTTCACCCTAGTAATGACTGTGGGTGTGGCCTGTCCTGGCCCAAAGATACTTTATTTCTTGCCTCAATGAATTTCTGACAGGCACACAATTGAGAAATGTGTTTTCTTATATGTATCACCTAGCATAGAGTTTCTATGAAGGCAGTGATTTTTTAATGTTTTGCTGAATGCTGTATCTCAGTGCCTAGAAAGAACCTGGTGCACAGTAGACATGTAAAATATGTGTTGCACAACTGAATGAATAAGGGAATTAATGAAAACACTAAAGGAGCACAGTTGACAGGGGAGCCATAATATTAACATTTAGTGAAAAAAAAATCACTGTTGTGAAAGAAAGCATAGTTTTTCCCCAAAGTTTAGATTTAGAAAGAGATGATATCTTGCCATTGGCCCAAATTTATTTATTTTTCCCTGTTTTGAAATTTATTGGATACTTATTAAACTCTGCTTAACCAAAATAAAAATCAGCAAATATTTGGCAGAGGTTGATTAAGTAATTTAATTAGAGTTGTTTACATATTGTTTATGACACTCTGGAATTAGATAACAGTATTTGTCTTTTCTAATATTTCAGTTATGTATTACATTTTATGGTAGCAATGTTTAAATAATTTATATTTTATTCATTTCGTGACAGTATTCTCTAAGAGCTTCCTCATTCATTTAGGGACACAATAACATTGTTAGTATTAATTCTAGCCCCATTGTGTACTATGAGTTAACTCTCTAGTATAACACGTGAAAAAAATTCAAAATACCTAAATATATATATATAAAAAAAAGAATATTAAAACTGTGTGTGTGTCTAAAACAGTCTCAGTCTTTAAGAGTAGAATGACTATAACTTTTAGAGTATGATTCTCTATGTACTACTAATCATAGAAAAGCTTGAGCCTGATTATATATGTTCAGTAGAAGGGGCTGCTAATGGGAGAGGTCGAACAGGTGGAAGATTAACTGGGATAGCAGGATCCCAGAAGGTATGAGTGGATGAGGTCCAAAGGAAAGGTAGAGGCCGGACGCGGCAGCTCACGCCTGTAATCCCAGCACTTTGGGAGGCCAAGGCGGGCGGATCACGAGGTCAGGAGATCGAGACCATGCTGGCTAACACGGTGAAACCCTGTCTCTACTAAAAATACTAAAAAAAAAATTAGCCGAGCGTGGTGGTGGACGCCTGTAGTCTCAGCTACTCGGGTGGCTGAGGCAGAAGAATGGCGTGAACCCGGGAGGCGGAGCTTGCAGTGAGCCGAGATCGCACCACTGCACTCCAGCCTGGGAGACAGAGCGAGACTCCATCACACACACACACACACACACACACACACAAAGTAAATTAAAAAAAGGAAAGGTAGAGAAGTGAATCTTGGAAAGAACAAGGGCAAAAGACTTAGGGATTTCTTGTTTTAATATCCTTTTAGTGTTTTGAATATGCTAGTATATTTGGCAGAGTCACTTATCACAATAATTTTTGTAGTGGTTTTCTTATTTTGACGGTTAGCTTCTCAGCATCTGTAATTGAGTCTAATTGATCTTTGCCTTATGTAAGCTCAAAGAAAGGATGAACATATACATAGCCTAGAAGTAGGCAGTAGAGAAAAGATATATTATTTCCCTATCCCTTGTATATACTCAAAGAAAGGATGAGTATTTGGAGAAAAGGAGAGAAGGGATGAGAAGTAGCCACTGGATTTACAATGTAAAACTTTGGCATGACCTGTGTTGGTAATGTCTTAGGAGTGGTTTAAGCCAGATTGGCAAATCTGTATTTTTGGCAACCTGCTTCCGAAGCATAAAACTTGTCATATGATGGATATCCAAAGCATTGGAGCCACCTTAGTGACGAATCTGGCACACTATGCACTGATTATTCTGGCCGTATACATGGCTGTGAGCATGAGTTATTTTACTACATAAAGAGATGCAGTAGACTCCCCTTATGTGTGGGGACTTAGGCACCCTAGTGTATGCCTGAAACTGCAGATAGTACCAATCCCTATATAATCCCTATATGCACTGCTTTTTCCTATACATACATACCCATGATAAAACTTAATTTATAAATTAGAAACAATAAAACATTAACAGTAATTAATAATAAAATAGAACAATTATAACAGTATAGTATAATAAAAGCTACGTGAATGTGATCTCTCTCTGTCGCTAGATGTCTTATTGTCCTGTACTTTCCTCTTTTCGGGCTGCAGTTGACAGGCAGTGATTGAAACCAAATTGAAACCGTGGATAAGGGAGGACACAACTGTATGACTTAGATTTTTTCTATCTAAAAATCTAATTTTAATGTAATTTGATAGATTTTAGATTTTTCAATGGTGTTATCAACCTTTTAATGGTTTATTCTTTTGGTTTCGTC